GTGAATTCGTTTTAGAAGGTTCTTTGCACGATTTTGTTATGGAAAAGCTTAGGGTTTGATTGATGTGAATGCAATGCCAGATAGATAGATAAACGAAAGTAAAGGGAGAGTGAGAGAGAGATTTTTATAGTGGTTCGGCTATTAACAAAGCCTACTCCACTCTTCTTCCACAACTTGTGAAAGGGTTTGCACTATCACTCCTAGCACAAACTAAACAAGCCACCTTCCTTGATCACTAAGCCGGACAGCTACTTGTGTAGGTTTTTCAACTCCTAGAGTTTACTCTGCCTCTATCAACGTCTTCTTCAGAGTTGAGGTTTGGAAAGAATTGATGATGTTCTCCAACTTGTGAAATCTTGACTTGATGAGGCTTGAATCTTCAAATATAAGTTGCAAGATTTCCTTGTGTTGTGAACGCTTGAAGTCTAGATGACCTCTTTGAAAAACTTCACAACAACACACTGGTTTTGAAAGCTTTTGGATGATACTTGTTAACAAAGCTTTTGTAGATAAAGATTGAGTGAAAAACCAGCACATTCTTCAGTGGTGAAGAGATGTATTTATAGGAGAAGAAAATCCATCCGTTAATGGGAGATAGAGATTCAAACCTATTGACCAGCGTGTAATATCCACTGGGCTCGAAGCATTTAATGTGGTTGTACTGTGTAGCAATTGGCAACAAAAAGTTGTTTGTCTTTTCGTTATTTCTCACTGACAAAGGTACAAATCATTTAATGCTCCTTTGATTTTTGAAGATATCATTCCTAGGACTCCTTTTGTCTAGGATGATTGCCCAGGTGTGAGACAAAGACAAATATGCTTTTGTGATTTCATGTAGAAGTTGTCTATTCAAGTCTGACTTAGACTTTTAGTCTCGGGATCAGTTGACGAAAGATTGTCCTTATCTTTCGTTTTTCTTCAAGTCAAATGATTTCCTTATCAGTTTACACGAGAGTTAGTGTAACACCCCGTGTTACGGCCTCTAACCCAAACTAATTATTTAATTACTTAACCTTAAAAGAGAATTGAATTCCCTTAATTAATTAGGAAGGGTCCACCATAGGCCATGGACCCTTATCCCTAAACCAAACCCTTAGTCCTATAAGGAATAGAATAAGTAAATCCCTACCATTCAGACCCTAATTAGGACTCTTAGATATATATAAGGACATAGGGGGCACCTAGAATTCACACCACAATAGATTCCACCACACAAGAATTCCCAAGAATTCCCCCTATCACCAAACGTAGGAGAAATCAAGAAGAGGAGATCTTAGAGGAAGAACCTTAGTAGCCAAGGATTCTAGTTAAGGCTAAGAGGTAACCCATGTCTCAACAAAACCTATTTTCCTTGCTATAATCTTCTTCTTTGGCTCCATTGATATGCAATTCTATGCTTGTGTCTTGATAAGGCTTTTGTGATGATTATGAGATAATCTTGATGTTTATGAGATGATCTTATGTGTTGATCTTGATAATCTTGATGTTTATGAGAGGGTCTTGATATTTGTGTGTTGATCTTGATAATCTTGATGTTCTTGATTTTAAAGATAAAATTATGATCTTGTGCTTTAAATATGATTAGAGCCCTAGGGTAAATTTTGAATTTTGTGTTATGATATTCTTGATATGTTTGGGCGGGATTTTGCATGTTCGGGTATTGGGTCTTGATTATGTTCAGAAGTCATGTTAGGATGTATTTAATGTGATTCTTGATCTATTACTAGATTACGTAGTGTCGTCGCTTGTGTTTAAATGTGTCTGGACATGGTTTCGGATTCCACGAAAGATCCCGGGACCAATCTATTACAAAAGAGTCAGTGGGGGGTAGGTGGGGGCAGGGGTACCCGCCACCTACCCGCTGCCCCGATAAGGCCGCCGGCAGCGGGCAGACGACTGCCCGCCGGGCACCCGCTGCCCAGTGTTACGCCGCCGACGGGTGGTCCTCCACCCGCTGGAATTCCATGTGGCAGTTGGTGGTTTTCCCCGTTTGATGTTTCCCCGTGTCCCGTGGTGTGTCATTGGACCCTGTTTGTCGTGCCTGAGTCTAGTTTGATGTTTCGGGTACCGTTCATAGGATGAAAGAGTCTTATGTATTGCATGCTAGTCGAACTGGTATCCCGTTGGCCTAGGTGAAAGATGTATGAACCCCGTAGGCATATTCTTAGTAAGGTGGTTAACCACGCATAAGTTTTATATACACGTTTTCCCCCTCCCTACGTGCTAATGTGGGTTGCATGTGCGTGGCTATGTGTTATGTGTGCATGATACCCCAATTGGTTGCGATCAATTGGCTATACGGGCAGTTGGATGGGTTGAGAACCATCAGTTGTTAACCAGGCCGGTTGCGATCGGTCAGGTATATATATATATATATATATATATATATATATATATATATATATATATATATATATATATATATATATATAGGGCTGCGGTCCACCATTTGGTTGCGATCAAATGTTATAAATGAGCTGCGGTTCACCAATCTGGTTGCGATCACATATACACATACTACTCGGACTGCGGTCCACCGTTTGGTTGCGATCAAACGTTACTATATGAGCTGCGGTTCATCGATTGGTTGCGATCAATCCCCTTGTGCTGCAGTACAAGGCAGGGTGCTTCGGGGCCGTGTCAGAGCTATATGCGCTGACCCTCATGTATGGGCATGCGATTGGTCTTGCGGCACCACCAAAGTGTGTTTACGTGTTAAGATAATGATTGGATACTGATATGCTTGATAAGCTTATGACCTTAGGGTGTATACTAGTATCTTTATATGCATGATTATAACTGATGAATGTGCTTACCCTTACGTGTTGAGTCTATTCTCGGTTTTAAATTAGAGTCTCATAAGTATATATATCTTCCGGCTTCAAAATGGTTTTCCATATATATATATATATATATATATATATATATATATATATATATATATATATATATATATATATTGTATTTTAACGCGTTGGAGTGGGTTACCAGCATTATTCGCTGAACAGATATATTTGGCTTTCAGGCATAGATGAGTAGCTCCGGAGCGCGCTAGAGGACCCGAAGCCTAGTTAGTTAGTTTAATTTCCATATCGGCCTGCGTGCCATGATGATGTATTGACACTGTTTTGAGGATGTTTAGATAGTATAGCCTGTGCATCTGAGTTCTCCAGCTCAGATGTGGTATAGCACCCCAATGACTTATGTTTAGTTACGCTCTGTTTCGGGTTTTAATGATAGTATTACCTTTATTTCATAAGCATTCAAAGTTTTAAATTTTAGGGGTGTTACAGTTAGTCCCTTCCATCTTTCGGTCTCAGTTATTCTCTCGGCCTTCTCTTGATATTCTCTTCTTTAGGTAGACCTAGTTTAATTTACTAAATACAACTCTGATTCGTGTAAATGTGCTACTAAGCACGAATCACATAGTGAGTTGTGACTACTTTTGTCTAACACGAAAGATGCAAAATAACGAGAGTAAAAAGAGGGGTCTACAATCCTAATTAGTTTGGTATCATCAAAATCTAAATGCACTTGTTCCTAAAAGAAAGTTAGGGTCATTGGGAATCTAATTCCGTAAAAGTAAATCCCACCTAGAAGAGGTATGATTCCTTTTCTCGAATGCCTAGAAAATCTACTAAATTTATATATTTTTGTATTTATCCTTCTTCGCTCAAGTTAAAAGTCTCTTATAAATATAAGAAATTTGTCTCTCCACCATTATGAATGATAAAAATACTATTTATCAAAGAAATTTGTCTCTCTCAATATATATATATATATATATATATATATATATATATATATATATATATATATATATATATAGAATAAAGTTCAAATGCGGCGGGGTTTTCCCGTGCGGCGGTGCGGCGGAATTCCAGAATACACCAACAGTGTTAACAATATGCACCAAGTTAGAAAAGCACACCACAATGAAATGCAATAAAACATCACAGAATACACAACAGACTCAAAAAAATACACCATATAACTCACCACACCCCAATGGTGTATTTCTGAACAGTGTATGGTGTTTTTACTCACACCTAATGGTGTGTGTTTGGTGATTCAGGACTCTATTTGCTCTGATTTTTGTGGTGTATTTTCCTAACGTTGATGGTGCATATTTGTTGAACTATTGGTGTTGGCGCACCGTAAGAAATCGCCGCACCGTAAGACACTGCTGCACCTGAACTCGCCTATATATATATATATATATATATATATATATATATATATATATATATATATATATATATATATATATATATATATATAGTCTTAAATTTTGAATATTTTGTTGCAGACAAAGATTTTTTGCATATGGTTTATTAATTTACAAGTGATTTATTAAACTCTTAATTATTCGCTATGATTTTTATTTTTCTTTTATTTTTAATGCTTGTATATAGCAAGGATATATTAGAGATTTTTAAAAAATTCATAGGAAAATTTAAACGAGTCACACATCTTAATTAATTTTCTATGTAATTTAACTCTTATTAATATACGGTTATAGTATTTAATATACGACAGTTCTAAATAACCCTCGTATATAATTTTTTATTTACTACGTCAGCCACTTTATACACCACTTAGTAAATCGACGTATATGTGTAAAAAAAATCGTTGTAATTATACTTTCTGTAGTAGTGAATAATAGCTAAATTATCCTTATTATATTGTAGTATACTATATATTTTAGTGTTTTGTAGAATCTTATATGTGATTTATATATAGTGCACATAGTGAATTCATGGAGTACATTTAATTTATTATTCATTCCCTAGCGAACATACATACTCATCTGGACAGTACAAGTTATGAGAGAATATTATGAAAATATAAAGTGATATATAAAGTGATTTTTGACTTCTCCCAAAGAAATGGTATGAAGCATTATTTTAATATATTATATAGTATATGATATACTAGGAAATCCGCGGGTTGCTGTGCTCATCATTCTACGAAGGCATTGACGTCAGAGTTGATATATATTATCCTGTGCCAGAAATAAAGTTTTCCAAGCGTTGTTGCACCATAATGGCATCCATTCCAAGTCGAGGTAAAAATGCCTATCCAATAAAAACATAACATAATCAATAACAACTTTTAAAGCTAAAATGAACCATGCAAGTATATATGCAACGAAACATGCACGAGTTATGAGTAATAAGAACACTAATATGTGTTAGGAGTAAGCAAAAAACTTGGATCAGCAGACCTGCTAGCAAGGTCTAATCATCATCTATGTACTGTACCAATTAATTGTTATCATCTATGTACTGTACCAATTAATTGTTATACGATCTACCTTATATTATATATAGATCCTGATCTAAAAATTATAATATAGATCCTGATCTAAAAATTATGGGTCAGCAGTACAGTTATCATATTATATGTTTTTGTCAATGACCTTGTGGACAAGTGGCACGAAGTGGCTCTCCTAAATGTGAGGTCATGGGTTCCAACCCTAGTGGAGTTGTTATTGGCTTTTTTGTGCTTCAGTAGGTCGAGAAAGTATGGTTATGAACCAAACAATGGATCAGGGTCTACATAATATTGTTGCCCTGGTCCAAAAATAATCTGAGGGTCCCTGGTCCAAAAATAATCTGAGGGTCTACATAATATTGTTGTCCCTGGTCGAAAAATAACATTCAGATTCCGTACTTATAATTGATACATTCTATACATGCAGTCAACCGGTATACTGCAGGTTGATACATTCTATACATGCAGTCACATTCTATACATGCAGTCAACCGGTATACTGCATGTACAGAATGAGCAGAATGTGTTAACTACAAACAAGTTATACTGCAGGTACAGAATGAGCAGAATGTGTTAACTACAAACAAGTTATAATTTTTGAATCAGGATTTACAATATAATATGAACCCTGATCCATGATATAACAATTATTGTCCATTTGCACATAATATGTTAACTACAAACACATACACATAACTTCAATCCATGGTATAATTTGGTTCTTTGAACTGTACCTTGCAAAGAATTGTATGGTAGATCTTGAGATCCACAGTGGAGATGCTTGCACTCACAACTTCTGCACCTTCGTCTTCAAGAATCCAAATGACTTTATGCATCTTCAGCTTCTTGTTCTCCGATCCACACACTATATTTATCTCCATTAATGTTTCATCACCTGTGTCAATCTCTTTCACGGCTATTTCAACTGGTACTTGTAGACTATACATTCTTGCTTTCAGCTCATTAATGTTTTTCTCTAGTTTTTTTACGTACTTAATGGCTTGATCCAACAAGTCCCACGCCGGTGAATTTTCCTTTTCCTGTAGTACCTCAACAACAAATCATTCATAAATAATCTGAAACCCTAATTATTTCAACAAAAACCATATAGATTTGAAATGCTAAAACTCATCATCAACTATACCAGACATGTTTCAGCAGAGACGACGAGAGAGGCGAGCTGACCATAAAGACCTTTCAGTTTCTGCCGACGTTGTTTCTCAGCCAAATGCCGGCCAGCTTTTGGTATCCGGAAGCTAGGTTTGGTCTTCATGTTTTGGGCTAAGTAAGCGTGTTTTTTTTTTTTTTTTTTTTTTTTTTTTTAAATGTATAAAAATAATAATAATAATAATAATGATACCTCTATTGCCTCCACATGTGTCTATATATAGGCTTAACGCTTAAAATCGCTATCGTTTTTTTTGGTAGGGACTTAAAATCGCTATCGTAGTCAACTGTACAAAACCCAGAAAACAGCTCAATTATACGCTCAATTGAGGATTCAGACCTGACACGTCCCCCTGCTTTTAAAATTAGAGCAACCACATCATTGTTTTTGCTCAAATTTTGAGAAGAAAAACCAACATATATTTTTTGGACTAGTGTAAAAAGTGGGTTTTTTTCTCCTACAATTTTAGTATTTTTGTGGGCCCCTACTGATAGCTTTGATCTGAAAATAATATGAAAGGTGCGCGTTTCGGGCAGGGACGGAGCCAGAAATTAGTTTGAGGGGGGCGAAAAAGTAGGGACAAATTCAGAAAAAATTTTCAAAGGCGAAACATTAAAACAAAAGAAATAATTTTTTTTAAAAAAAAATAAATTACCTAAAAAATATAGTTGTAAATATTGTTGGATATGGACGAAAAATAAAACACATCGAAACTTTATAAAAATATTCATAACAATATATGAAACATAATTAATTTGAATTAAAAACACTATAAAAATATGTTGATGCTAAAGGATTGGAACTATGAAACATAATTAAGTTGAATTAAAAACACTATAAAAATATGTCAATAATAAGATTTGAACCCTTGGACTTTCCAATTGTTAAACATGTCCTCAACCAACAAATCTAACTCATTTTTGCTAACATTTAGTAATTTTTTTATACTAATACTAAAACCTGTACTATATATACATATATACATACAAAGATTATATATGGGGTGGGGGTGGGGGTGGGGTGAGGGGGGCAACAGCCCCCCTGCACCCTTTGGCTCCGTCCCAGGTTTCGGGCACTTACTGTGCTTAGCTGGCGCGTACAATGCACGCGCCGCTAGACCCGTAAATGACCTTCTATTTATTTTTTTCCTAAAGACGGTCTAACGTTTTTGTTTTTTGTTTTGTTTTTCTTCTTTGCTTCCTCTCTCTACCTCCCTCTCTTTTGTGCATGGAATGACAAAAATCCAATAAAATTCTTAACCCCTAATTAACATTTTAGGATATATTCTGTATATTATTGGGAATATATATATATATATATATATATATATATATATATATATATATATATATATATATATATATACTATACTAATAAGAGCCCAAGAGAGTTAGGCCTATAATGGGTAGAAAAAATGGCGGTCACAGATTTTAATCAAATGAATGGCTCAGATTGATTAAAAGATTGATCATATATTTAAATTTTACACTAAAATTTCCTAAAATACCCACACACCGTTACTAATTCCGTTAAAATTTTAAGAATTGCCGTTAGTTCACCGTTAACTTACTCATTGATTTCAATAAAAAAAAAAAAAAGTCTTAGGTTCGAACCTCATCCCAATCAAAGTTGGCATAATTAGTACTCTATTTTACTCTTATTAAATTATATAAATAATAATTTAGTAGTTACAACAAAAAATAATACATATGCATTTCTTTAATTTAGAATTATGTGTTCACAATGTCTTTATTCAAAAAAAAAAATTATTCATTATCAATAAGTTAAATAAATAAATAATTTTATTAGTTATATTGTCTTTATTTTTCTTCAATATAAAAATTCTTTATATTCAAATTTATTAATTGATTATATTCGCTACATTGTCCTTACAATGTCTTTATTCAGTGAAAAATAAATTATTAATTATCAATAAATTAATTAAAAGAAATATTTTCATTAGTTATATTGTCTTTATTTTTCTCAAATGTAAAACTTTTTACATTCAAATTCATCAATTGATTATATTCACTACATTATCTATTATCTTTTTTGTGCACTATTTTTCTAATTAAATATCAAAGTTATAACATAAAATAATGCTATATATTTATTTACCAAGTATTTTATTAATACCATGAAAAAATTAAAAAAATATAATTAATAAAGCCAACCATATTAACTACTTGAGAGATTTTGTGACAAAGAGAGTATTCAAATCACACAACAAGTGAGAACTACCTCGCAATGTCCTTGTTTGACAATCAGCAGTTAGCGGTTAACGTTAGCGGATTTGACCAGCGAATTTATTTAATTATTAACATTGGGTAGAAAAAATGACCGCCAAATTATTAAATCAAATGAATGGTTCATATTGTTCAGGTTTTAATTTTTTTTCTTTTAAGATTTTCTAATTTATCCTTAATTATATGATTATCCATTTAACTTTTCCGTTAATTCACCGTTAGTCTAATTCTAATATTAAAGTCTAATATAGAATTATAACTACACCATTAATCTAATTCTAATATTAAAGTCTTAATAGAACTTAACCACAAATCCTAATGTCGGAATCTCCTCAAACAATATTAGTATATATTTCATATTTTATGTCCTAATTTTTATTTGTTCTCCCTTATGTCCCGTATTTGGTTTCAACCATACCTATACAATTATTTTATTGACAATTATAATCAATATTGACTATATTATCTTGCATTTGTAAACTTAGAATTACCTATTTAACCTGCACGGGCTTAGCTCAATGGTTTAGTGGGTAGTATTTGGGAGAAGAGACCAAGGTTTGAACCTCGGCGGCGGCAATGTGTGAATTATGTCCAAAGTGGGCAGATTCCTTGTGCGTACCAGCATTTTGCCATGTCTGCTGAACCATTGAGTCACCGTGATTTACAACTTCCCACAATGCTCTGTCGGGTCGGAGTGTGGGGGGCCCTTGGGGTTGGGGACTCAACCTTTGGGAGAAGAATTACCTATTTAAATACGCAAATTCAACCTTCAATTATCTATGCATGAATAATTTCAATATAATCTTGCCTTAATATACTTTAAAGTACTTATTTAAAAAAAAAAAAAAAGAGCATTGGGCATTATCCCAATCGCGCAATGCGCGTAAAAAACTAGTATATATATATATATATATATATATATATATATATATATATATATATATATATATATATATAATCGCACTCACATGCAAATGTTTCGCCCCGTCGCGAAATAGGAATGGATTCTGTCCGTCCACGTGTCCAGATCTAATGGATGAGAAACACTGATTTTTTTAAAAAAAGTTTGGTGGTATTTTTATAAATAATTGAACATTGAAGTGCAAGTAAAATGTATTACAAGTGCATGTAAAATGTATTAAAGGTGCAAGTAAAAATTTAAATTGAGAATCAATACTAAGTGCACCTATAGTTCTAAGTAGTTGCACACATAGTTATAAGTAGTTGGACCTAGGTGCATGAATGTTTGCGGGTGGTTTTCAGGAGTATTACTACCCGTTGAACTCAGATCAATGAATGTTAACAAGGCAAAATTACATGCATTTATAGGTGAAAGTAGGTGTACCTATAGTTATAAGTAGTGGCACCTATAGTTATAAATAGTTGCACCTATAGTTATAAGTAGGTGCACCCAGGTGCATGAACATTTGCGGGAAGTGAATGTTAACAAGGCAAAATTACATGCACTTATAGGCATGGTTGCAGTAGGCGCTGGGCGCTAGTCAGGCGCCCGAGCAGCGCCTAGCGCCTAAGCGGCCTAGTCGGCGCCTAGGCGGAATCTAGGCGGCGCTAGGCTGTCGCGAAAAAAACAGTAGCAGACTTGCAATTTGACAATTTTAATGAGGTTGTTTTCTAACATTCAATCAAATAACACATCCAAATAAATGACATAATGACATAATGACAATTCATAAGTCATAACATCAAAAAAAAAAAAAAAAAAAAAAAAAAAAACTCAAATGAAATACCCAAATACTTCAATCATCCAAAGATTGAAAGTATCAAACTAGTCTACGAGTGTATATATGTCATATTATATGTATATGTCATATAAATGGAAAAAATTAGCAAGGTCGAGTCGGTCGAGTTAACTCAACTAACTCGACAGAAATTGACGAGTTAACTCGGCGTAATCGGACGAGTTAGGCGCTAGGCGGGAGCCTAGGGCGGAAATCGCCACGGCCTATGGGCGCCTAGCGCCTAGGCGCCGATTACCCGGTGCCTAGACGGGATTTTTACAACCCTGCTTATAGGTGAAAGTAGGTGCACTTGTAGGTGAAAGTAAGTGCACTTGTAAGTGATTTTACTTGCACTTCGATGTTCAATTATTTACGAAAATACCACCGCGTTTTTTTAATCTATTAGATCTAGACACGTGTTCGCATATTCCCTCCTGGCACTTATTCGCACCTGAGTGCATCCCTATATATATATATATATATATATATATATATATATATATATATATATATATATATATATATAATTAGGTTCTGGTGCGGTTAAGGTGCCCAGGTGCGGTTGTGCGGTTTAATCTGGGCCATTCATCTCGCTTAAATCAACGTCCAGGATTACCAAAATTTAAAAAAAAAAACGCAGTGGCAATTTTGTAATTTTTGCATCTAGGTCAAAATTAAAGTGAGCGGATCTGTGATTAATATGCGTGAGTTTTGTATATAAGATGCGTAAGGTTTGTGCGTAAGGTGCGTGAGGTTTGTGCTTAATGTGCATGGGGTTGTGCTTAATGTGAGTAGTGTTAAAACTTAAAGTCTGTGAGTTAATAATTAAAGTGCGTGGGTTTTGTGATTAATGTGCGTGAGGTTGTGCTTAATGTGCGTGGGTTTTGTATTTAATGTGCGTGAGTTTGTGCTTAATGTGAGTAGTGTTAAAACTTAATGTCTGTGAATTAATATTTAAAGTGTGTGTGTTTTGTGCTTAATGTGCGTGAGGTTGTGCTTAATGTGTGTGGGTTTTGTACTTAATGTGCGCGAGTTTGTGCTTAAGATCTAACACTTAAGGTGCATATTTCTATCACTTAAGGTGCGCCATTTTTAGCTTATGCTTCTTTCTTCCAGACACGCGTTTTTTTTTTTTT